GAGTCAAATGATTTTATCAACCAAGAAACCAATTGTCGACGCAGAATAAAGAAATTGACTACTTGACCAGTAGATTCAGCAAGCAGTGAACAATAAAATACCCAAATAAGTAGTTCAGAAAAAAGAAATCTTGAACCAGCAGTTTATCCACACAACACCAATTATCTGAACTGAAGTAGGAGCTAGCAGCCACGGAACCACAAATCACAGACCAGATTCAATGTCGCAGAACAGAAACAAACCTGGAAGTGAAGAACAGACTTTTTGAATCGTGTTTTAACACCAGAACATGCACCTTCACGTGCTGGTGTGTGATGAATAGGCGAACTGTATGAGCAGTGTGTGACTGCCACTGGCTTCACACCCAGATGATAGAGAAGACTGGTTTGGCCGGAAAATATACTCCACCTCCTTCTGTGGTGGCAGTACGCAGACTGACCACTCTAAATCAGTGGATTAGAAATCCAAACTCTTCCGTAACACAGCCAAAACGACACGAGCCAATAGGCTCTGATACCATGTAAATTAATGGAAAATCTCTTTCTTATTGCAGTAGTTTAGCAGTGAATAAATACAATACATTAGGTGCTAACTAAGGAAAGAAATTAAGATTGATTCCTATGAATCTGCAGTGATTCCTATAAATCTGCTACCTAAATATAGCTATGTATATTACTAGATTTAAGTCTATATACATTCTATAACAGTTCTTCAGGACTTTTGGATTGACTCTTTTAATTTAATGTCTATACAGATATTACATTTCCCAGCAGTTGACGGACAAAAGTGACGTTTACAGTTTTGGTGTCATTCTCTTGGAGTTAATATCTGGCCAAGAAGCAATATCTAATGAAAATTTTGGTCTCAATTGCCGTAATATAGTCCAGTGGGTAAGATTATTTATTGATCATATGCACTATCTTTGATAATAATTTGCTACCGAATTTTCACCTTAGTACTTTCTCCCTTTAAAAGAAGTTGATATCTTCTTGCTTCGGATATAGTCCTATATTTTTATACTCAGTAGGTGTCCCAACGACCCAACCTTATACATTCATAATGTCTTTAGTTTCTTCTAGTGGGAACATCTGACAAATTTATATAGACTCCTGCATAATCCTATTGTAGGGAAAGATTTTATCTGTTGAACCATGCTATAAAGTTCGGTGCTGTCTTAGACATTTACTGGATGGATTTTAAAACTTTCTGCTTCTAATCATCCAGGCGAAACTACACATTGAGAGTGGGGACATTCAGGGCATCATTGACCCCGCTTTACACAATGATTATGACATCCAATCAATTTGGAAGATAGCTGAGAAAGCTTTGATGTGTGTCCAACCTCATGGAAACATGAGACCATCGATATCAGAAGTTATCAAAGAAATCCAGGATGCAATTGCAATTGAAAGAGGCGCAGAAGCAGTAAAGGAAGGTAGTTCAGATGACATATCCAGGCATTCGATGCATTCCTCCCTACATGCGGGTTCAATGGACCTAGGTGCAAGTGACCATTACTTGTCCATTGATGAATCTATCACAAGACCAGCAGCTCGATAAGTTTTTTGTTCATATGACTGTAGAGTTTTGTTCATATAATAGACCATTAAGTTGTGTTATTTCCAATTCCTTTTGCCATCATTCTACATATTTCTCAAGGTCTAGGATTACACAATTGTTGTTATTGGCACCTTTTGTTGGAACATAACCTTCTTTTGTGCTGTGCTGTGTAAAGGCAAGTTTTTTAGCACATTTTTAGTTTCACATTTTTGGCTTGAACCAAGAGAAAAAAAGTTTAAGCAATTCTTTACTTCTATTGCCCTTTTGATAGAAATTCTTATGGTTAAAACCATATATATGAGTGGCTACAGACTTTGCTGAGGGCCTGCAACTCTGGTTTCCCTCAAGTCACTGATACATATCAATACTTGTTCCGTTTTACACATTTATGATATAGGAATAGTTCAATGTTAGAAAAACTGGATTTTCTCTATGAACTAAGAAACTATAAGTAATAAGAATTATTTACCATCTGGGAAGAGAGAACAATCTGATTATGAAGCAGATTTACTGATCTAGGAAGATGCGCTCAAGAATGTGGAGTTTATTCTCCTAGAGGACTTAAGTCATGTAAATTTATTAAGTTTTCCAGTGTACCAAAGAAAACATTAAATGGTAAATGTTGGTGTAGAAATTTTGGCTGATTGAGTAAGCTATGTGAACTTCTTGTTGGAAGGGGTTACAGTGATATGGACAAAGTTATTTGGTACTTGTGTTGGTGGGAGGTAGTGCGTGCTCGATGTAGTAGTTGAGCTATGTAACTTGGTAAGAGGTTTGTAATACGTGCTCAAGAGAAGTAGCTGAGTTGTGCAGCCTAGTACTGTAGCACATGCTCCGTAGCTTGATACTTGTATTGGTGGGAAATAACATGTGCGCGATGAAGTAGCTAAAGTGTGCAACATGATACTTATGTTGATGGGAAGTAGCACGCGCTCGATGCAGTAGTTGAGGTGCACAATTTGGCACTCATGTTGGTGGGAGGTAATACGTGCTTGAGAGAAGTAGCTATTTTGTGCAACCTGGTATTCATGTTGGTGAGAGGTAGTACATGTTCGATACAGTAGCTGAGGTACATAGCTTGGTGTACTTGTATTAATGGGAGATGGCACATGCTCGATGAAGTAGCTGAGGTGCGCAACTTGATACTTGTATTGGTGCAAGATAACACTTGCTCAATGAAGTAGCTGAAGTGTGCAACATGATACTCATGTTGGTGGGAAGTAGCACGTGCTCGACAAAGTAGTTGAGGAGCGCAACTTAATACTCATATTAGCGGAAGGTAATACATGTTCAATAAAGTAGTTGAGGTGCGTAAAAACTGATTCGAACGGAAAAGAGGGGTAGTCATGTGAGGGAATATGTAGAATGGAACAGTCCAAACACACTAGACCAATAGTATATTATTGATCAATGATTGGCCCCATGTCCTACCATTGCTACTGTCTTTGTTGCAGTGTTGTACAACATTGCTGATTATGATACCTGCCATTTCTGCTACTTGATCAATTAGTTCTGCACCACATTGGAGAAGACTAGTCAATGTACAATCTTTTTGTTGCTAGATTAAATTATTAAAAATTGTGATGTATCTACTTAATTGAGTTGAGAATCATTCGAAAATAACATTTCTATCTTTACGAGATAGATTGGTAGACTCAATAAAGTTGAGGTCTAAAGCCAAGCTTCAAAGAAAGGTCGAACTTTCTCTCTCTTTTTTTTAATGGAAGATTGTTTACATATTTTTATTTAAAGTATGCTTTTCTAGTTTTTTTTTAGATACGAAACAAATAGTTATTATTTTATAATCGTAGAAGGGCCTAAAATGTCTTTTAACTATTTGAATTGATACAAAATTACTCTCCGTCCCACCAAAAAGTTGACGTCAAGGGTATTTGGAGGTCAAAAGGTGTATGGAAGGTACTTTTGTACCAATTCAAATAGTTGAGGGGGATTTTAGGCCCTTCTCCATTTTATAATTGATTTTCTTTGACAATTTCTTTCAAGGAAAATTGTCATATGTAGCTTATGGAATAAAAATATCGACAATGCAAATTTTCTATAAAGATAATATAGAGTTGGAATAATAAAACTTGGTTCAATAATTTGCTAAGTTGATATCAAAATATAACCTTGATATAATAAAATCCCAAAAAAAAATTGGCTCAACAATTTAAATTTGACAAAAAAAAAAAACTTTTTTTCATAAAAAACAACACAATGTTCTCCAAAAATATTTTCTTTAAAGTAATAATCCTCACATAATTTTACCTAAATTTAGTCTTCAAAAACTTTTCATAAATGTGACAAACGATTACATATATACATGTTCAAAATAATAAATCATTTGTAATATGTCTTATTGTATATAAAGTATTTAAATTATTAAGACATTGTTCATTTAATGATCATTTGATTGGTAAACAAGTAATATTTGGATTACAATAACGATTACATATATACATGTTCAAAATAATAAATCATTTGTAATATGTCTTATTGTATATAAAGTATTTAAATTATTAAGACATTGTTCATTTAATGATCATTTGATTGGTAAACAAGTTATATTTGGATTACAATAAGGAGAGTATGACAAATGAATTAATTAGTGATACATATTTGGAATAATTTTTTCTTTTTAGTGGCTTTGCTTCTTTACATGAGCATTTTGATATATTTTATTTGAATGGAAGGTCTTTCATAAATGACCTTTCTATCTTTATAAATCACAAAGTAACTATATATATAAGATTTGTTTATATACCATCTTTTTTCGACCTTAATTATGGGACTACACTTATTTTATTATTATTGTTCTAAATTAGTAGTAAAATTTACATGCACTATATCGGAGGTGTGCGAAAATCGATTTAACCGACAAATCATATTGAAAAAATTACTATTAATTTATCGGTATTTGATTATTTGGTTAGCGATTTTCAAGTGATTTTATAAAACAAACAAAAATTGAGTTTTTTTTATTATGATTAGGTTTTTGATTTAATAATCTTAAGGTTATATTGAAATTACTTTATACTAATTCTATTTCTTAAATTTTAGTATTATTTTCGGTGGTAGGCAACACAAACTAGTTTCTCTGCCTCTGACACCTTCTCTCTTTTGATTGCGACAAAGACAAATAACTATTGTTGCTTCTACAAAATAGTTTCTTGACTTGGTTGTCGATTTAGCATGTTCACAAATCAAAACCAATAATACTAAAATCTAATCGAATTGATTGATGCATACCTCTACATTTTACCCGTCTAGATTTCACTTGTAGAACATCAAAAGATATTATTATATAATTTAAATCTCAAAAAATAAAAAATATCATATTAATTGAGATAAACGGAACCCAAATGGGACCCACCCCCACCTACCTAAAGGACATAATGTAGAAGAATCCAAATACATGTGGAAGGAAGTAAAGAGAACGAGTTTCTTTTTATATAGTTATAAAAATTTCAGTGTTTTCTTGTAAAACGAACGGTGTTGATAGGGCAAAATCCAAAACTCTGCCTCATCTCAGTCGTCTCCCTTTCTCCCTTCTTCTCCAACGTCCGATCTTCCAGTTCCCTCTATCCACAGGTTCATTTTTATACCTTTTTTTCAAAAAAAATAATTCACCCCTTTCTCTCTCTAACTTTCTCTCTCTAACAATTTCAATGGCAGAAATCAGAAATAGGGTTTTTCTCTGGTTCATGTCATTCATCTTACTGTTTTCTACATAGTTTTTTTTTTTTGTTGAAAAAAGTCATCCCTTTTCCCCCTTTCTCTCTCTATCCCCTTAACTTTCTCTCTCTAACAATTTCAATGGCAGAAATCGGAATTAGGGTTTTTTTCCTGCTTCTTGTTGTTCATCTTACTGTTTTTGATGTGGGTTTTGGTTGTTTTAAGGTATGGCGGATGGTCAAGGTTCGTCTAGGTCACCGGCGAGTCCGAACGGAGGTGGTAGTCATGAGAGTGGTGGGGACCAGAGTCCGAGGTCTAACGTACGTGAACAGGACAGGTTTTTACCGATAGCTAATATTAGTAGAATCATGAAGAAGGCACTTCCTGCTAATGGAAAAATTGCGAAGGATGCTAAGGAGACTGTTCAGGAATGTGTTTCTGAGTTCATCAGCTTCATTACTAGCGAGTATGTGTTTAATGTTTAATGATTTGTTTAGCTCGTACTAGTTTTAGTTTGGTAATGAGTTGTTGCTGGTTGAATTTTGATTTGTAGATGACTAAATGTTGTGGTTTGTGTTAAAAATGTAATCTTTTTGTTGTTGATTGCATGTTTGATTGATTTATTATCGTTATTCATTCTCCCTCCGTGACGATTATTGGATTGATGTTATCTTTAAGATTGTTATCTTTTTATTGTTAATGAACATGCTCGCTTTGTTGAACTACTCTCTTTGTTTCAATTTGATAGTCTTGTGTAAACTTGGTATAGAGTTTAATAAGAAAATGAAGAAGAGTTTTGAATCGTGTGGTTTTAAACTAAACATATGTGGAATGTATTAAATGTCCTTTAATCTTGTGATTTTGAACATGCCATGTGGTAGTTGATATTAAAGAGTTTGCCAAAAAAGAAAGAGACATTTTTTTTAACGGAATAATATCAAGGGTAAGACGAACAAATTGGAATGAAGGGAGGATTTTGATTAGTATTGTCCCGTTACGCAAAGACTCCATCTTTCTTTAATAAGTGTTGTTTATAGGTGTATCGATATGCTATAGGTTGTAGGTGATGTTCACTCTTGTTTCTTTGTTCCTTTTTGTGGAGAAATTTTATTTTTGATGTTGTTGATTTCCTTGACAACTGATGGAATGTAGGGCAAGCGACAAGTGTCAGAGAGAGAAAAGAAAGACTATTAATGGTGACGATTTGCTATGGGCAATGGCAACTCTTGGGTTTGAAGATTATATTGAACCACTCAAGGTGTATCTTGCTCGATACAGAGAGGTAATGATCACTATGTTTCTGATTCAGCTTTCCCTTGTCACCCTTTTGCAATGAAGCATAAATTGATGGATTTTCCTCTTATGTGGTTGGTGGGATACCTGTTGGATGAATGAATTGTTGCAGATGGAGGTAAGTGAATGTCTAATATAATGTCTTTATTATCATTTCTTTTCTTTTTTCTTCTTTGCCTGTGGGAGCAACTGATTCATTTAGTAGGGTGACACAAAGGGAACGTCAAAGGCTGCTGATGGCTCTACTAAAAGAGATGGGATGCAACATGGTCCTAATTCACAGGTACTCTTTCGTGTTTTCTGCTTTTTCTCTCTCTCTTATTGTCTTGTTTGGCATCTTAAATTGCTTAAGGAAATTTTTTAAGTGCAATGTCCATTAATTTGATATTCCATCGTATTGTTACAGCTTGCACATCAAGGTTCATACTCACAAGGAATGAATTATGGGAACTCTCAGGTAATTTTTTATTGTGTATCCATGATGTTTAATTGCTGCATGTCATCCTTCAGAATGCTTCATTATGCATAGAAGTCTCAATCTTCGCCTGTTATATGGGGAAATATTTTTCCAGTCTTAACCACAAAAGTGGTGGATTAACCATGATTCAGAATCCCATCGGGTACAAGAAACTCTAGGTATTTCTTTTCATCGGTTTAAGTCTTGTTAGGCAAAGTTAATCAGTATCTGTGCTGGTTGGAGATAAAAGTATCTGGTAGATTATTCTATCCGGACAACTCTGTTAGGGAAAAAAACATGTAAAAGTTGAAACTAAGAAGAGTGTCTTTATGATTTTCAATTTATCAAGTTCTTCAATTTGACCCTTTAGTAACTATTGCAGACAAGTATAAGTGACAAATGCTATTACTGATTCCTACTTATGACAAAGATGGCAAGGTGTAGGTTGTCATTTCTTAGTTCAAATCTGAGTAAGCCGTGCTTTATATATTATAATCATCCAATGGTGGATAAAATTGTATAATGGATAGTAGGGAAGGTTTGTGTATATATTCATTCAAGGCTTGGGCCTTTATGTGATTTCACTACTTCAAAAGATGCCTAGAATTTTGCCAAAATGCTAATGATATTACCATAAGTAGAACTAAAGGAAAAGGTGAAATGAGGCAAATCCGTAGATGAGGTAAAAGAAGGGTATTATGAATAGCCTTTTCGCACTTAGGTATCTGCTTCTTCCTATTAAAACCAGTACAACTAATTTTGGAGCTGAGTCCATTGTTTCTTCCTGCTTTATGGTGATCATACATATTGCTCAGAGGACTACTTTTTGATGTGATGTTAGACTTTGCTCGATAGTTAGGTATATGAGGGATTGACATGTGCGATTGTCATTGTTCATGTGAAGTGAGACTTTCTCAACAATTAGGTATATGAGGGATGGACATGTGCGATTGTCATTAAGTGTCAAATCCATTGTGTACTTAAGTGAGGCAGTACAGTTTTATTGAATACTTCTACCTAAATATATGTCATGAATTGAAGACATTGTGCAAAACATGGGTATCGATGATTACCAGATAATTAAGAACTTGAAATCATTGTTCACTTGATGCTCGAGTTTGAAACCAAAATATCAGATATCAACTACATGATGCATTCCATAGATAATGGTTTTTTTGCACTGGGAGGGGGAAGTTGTTTTGTTTTATATGGAGGTGTTTGATTGGGCGCAAAGTTTAAAGAAGAAAAAAAACTTTTGGCACATGTTAAAAGTACCCTTAAGACTTGTGGTTGTAAACACATGTCACGACATTTTTTTGGCTATAAATAAGAGCATTTCATAAAAAGCAAAGTGAAATATTTAAAGCTCAAGAGCTCCCAAATATAGAAAGTGGAAATGGTTCATTAACATGCTTCTTGTAGTACGATTGCCTGATAACATTGATAGTTAGATGAATTAGTACATTCATCCGAAAATTAAGGATAGTCAAGCTTGATGAATAAATTCTATGTAATTGCTCGTGTCTTGTTGAGGTTTGCCATCTCAGCTTGTAAGACATCTATCATGTTACGATGAGTATAGAAGCCTGTGTGCACGAGAGAGATCACTCCTTGTTCTTATAAAATTCAATACAGGTGAAAAAGTTGGGGGTAATCCATGAATTTTACGCCAGCTTATGTTTTACTACTATACGGCAGCAATGTTAGTTGGTGGATTGATTGTTCAGATCCCACCCTAAGTCTTTTATGTCACTCTGATATTTACTCTCTTGAAATCACGTTTTGCAGGGTCAGCATATGATGGTCCCGATGCAAGGGACAGAGTAAAAATCCGATCTTCGTTCTGTTTGAGAAGACAGTGGACTTAAAAACATATTCTAAATATAGATCTTCTGCTATAACCTCTGTATCATGGTTTATTTATTCTAGTGAGTGCCATGTCATATTTAAAGTTTGTAAATTTAGGAGATGTTTAAGAAATATTATGGACATGATTGTTTGTAGTAATAATGAAAACCATTACCTAGTACTTCAATTGCAGGATGTTGGTTCTCTATGGATGAATCATGAATGAAGTTAAATACTACCTCTTTTTTTTTTCCTTATTCCTGAAGGAAAATTAGGGTTTCTTTTTTGGACTCCTGATATTTCCCTGAAATGAGTTTTTTTGACCAAGTGAGAAGTCATATAAACGATCTCAACTTGTTTGGGACGGAGGAATGTCATTCAATTCTTCCAGTAAGCTGTTGTTTGGTAAATGCTGATGTGACCATGAGTTAGGTTGAGGTCTATAGAGCTCTGGATCTTTCCATAGTAGAATTAAAAAGGAGGAGGAAGCTGCCTTCCAAAGTTGGTTTTGAAATTATCTTTTGTACCACATTTGCTTTGCATGTATTTGGGATATGCCAACTCTTGCTCGACTCTCCAATTTCACTTGTGAATCTTTCAGAATATGATCGATCGACTCTGTTTGATTTCAAATTTTGTGAGTCTATCTACTACAACCTAGTGAATGATAATAGTAGCTTATAATGAATTTGGACCATAAAACATGAATTTAACGAAATTTTAATTTTTCGTGTGTTAATCCATAAATATTCTAAATATGGCTGACAAACTCCATTTGGCCTAAAATTTTATGTGTCCATCTGTCACAACCTAGTGAACGATAATGGTGGCATATTATAGAGTCCACCTAAATTGGACAGAAAACTGGACTTCATTTCATCTTTTCTCTTCAGAGAAATGACTGAATTCTGTGATTTTTCTTCATCTAGAAAAATCAATCTAATCAGGAAAAAAAACTGTTAACAATTTAACTACACTAGTAATACAAAACTCACCTTTATATAGGTGCAATTTTCTTTATGATATTACATAAAACAACCTACATGAGTATAGAAAACTAAAGAAAACAAATCCAAGTCGAGAATAGGGCTATAAATTAGTACACCAACCCGAACCAGAACCTCGCCTCCTCCTCCGACGTTTTTGCATGCGCCAGAATAAAATCAAGAGACCTAACAGTTATAGTGATAAGTCTGTAAGATAAATGCTAAATATTCGAATTCATCTAACCGTCACATATACACAAATGTACACACTCACCTAAGATGGCAACAGTTGCAGGAACTAACCAGTGAGTAGCTACAAGCACAGGCATGTCAATCTGCAATCAAGTAAAATGAGACATTCTTATGTTCTGGCATTTGGACTATGTTAATTCAAGTTGATTAAAAGAGTATGTACTGTATTTTCAAACATTTGAAAAGCTATTTTGGTTTGATCATAAGTTATACCACTAATTACAATTGAAAGACCCAGTGAATATAGTCCCAAGAAACCAAGCTAAATGGGTATCCCGATAAGAAGAAGAAGTCAAAACGGAAAGCAATTGAAATATTGAAAAACTTTTATGATTCACTCACGAAATTTCAACTTTTCCCAGTGAACTTCATGTCCAAAAACTTTTTAAAAATGTGTGTAGATATATTCCTTTCTTACAATCCTGCGTCAGATACTACCCTTTTGAGCCGAGGGTCTGCTGAAAACAACCTCTCGACCTCATAAAAGGTAGGGGTAAGATCTGTGTACATCCTACCCTTCTAGACCCCACTATGGTATAACGCTGGGTATGCTGTTGTCTGTGTATGTACTAAGATATACTTCAACTACTACATTTGGACATGATTTGGTTGAAATTTGAAAAAAAGAACAAATCCTAAATGACATGAATTTCACTTGGAAAAAAAAAATGGAACTTGAAATAGAGAAGTTGAAGTGTGAAAAACTCTTAAAACATGTTGTTCAAACGTCAAATTCTCTATTTCAAGTTGAAGTTGAAAAAAATGAACCAAATTTGATAGGCAAAACTACTATTTGAAAAACAAAATTCAAAGATATATGAAAAAAATTGCATGGACAAACGCCAAAGTGTCAAGTTTTAAAAACAAATGAAACCAAAAGTTACTTACATCATCTCTGTAAAAGAAGCCCCAGTAGTTGTTTCCAGAAGAGTCGACAACCTTCTGAGTTGTGTTAGATGTTACTGTAACAGATGTGTCTACTGTAGAATTTAAACCTCTACCCAAGTCGATGACATGATATCCGGGTAGCTTACGGTTCCTTCCTCTGACCTGTAAATTGTAACCCTTTGTTCCCCATACTTCAAACCTGGAGTCACGGCTGCATGTCAACTCCTTCCCAACAACTCTAGAATAGGTAGAGAAATTCACATCCGTTCTACGCGATGGTATCTGGCTCTTATCAGCATATAATGGTTTCTCCTGTCTAACTGAATCCGAGAAAAGCATAGGATCTTTAATATTCCTGCTTGTAAAATCCAACATTTTCTTCAAGAGCCCATAACAATTGGTAACCATATGGCTGCTGTCCAAGCAGTTAGAGTCCCCGTATACTGCAATTCGACCCCTGCCGACCTCCAAAAAACCAAGAATAGGTGTATCTGTCTGCATTCATTAAAATAAATTGCAAGTCAGATTGGCAGGTCAACCACCACCTAAAGAACATTGAAAAAGTCGGAATGTCATTAGCACAAGGGTTCTCACTGGAGTAAAATGGACTTCTTCTCCAGTACTACTTTGTGCCACTTAAGGAATGTGATACCAAAAATTTATTCATCAAAGATATTGACAAGTGAAGAACATCCCTTACGCCATCCTCGCCTCACATTTCCGGAAACTCCATCTTCATTTTTAAGCAGAGGATTTTTTTAAAGATAAATATGAAAAAGGAAAAAAGGCAACTTCATGGAGTGTCATCTTTTAGTTAAGGATGTTATTATCAAAAGTAGTAGTTGATTAGGAGAATCGCTATCTCACTACAGAGTATACTCTTCCCCATGTTTCACTAGAGAGACAACAGACTTCACTAGATTAGACCACCATATCTCCATTTCCTTTCAACTACTAGAGCCTCATGGAGATGCTCAGTGTTCTGGAATAAGCAAAAAGAGGTCAACTCTCTGCTTTTAGTAAAGATTTATGAACTTAAAGAGGAGCAGTAGGTGCTAACAAAATTAAATTATGAACAGCCTTCAACTCACCTTGGTCATGCCAGATAAAAGGATATTCTGAGTGGCCCCGCTCTCTGAGCTATCCATGAAGGGGAAGCTGTGCAAGTATCCACCCCTTGGGAACTTCAGAATATCAGTCCCAGATGCATACCGACTCTGTTCACCATTGAGGACAAAATCGCCATTCAGAATTTTATTCCCAAATGCAATCCCAAAGGAAGCCAAAAGATCATTTAAGGCAGGAACATTGGAACCTCCAGTAACCGGGGTCCACCAGCTACGTGTATTGTCATCAAAAAACCTCATCTTTACCATTGTGTCCACATTGTACCAGTCAGCAAATACAACTACACTTAGACCTGAATTAATGACATCATCACTCAATTTCTTGATTTCTTCAGGGAAGTACTCATCCTCAAGATCCACCAGAAGGAGTGTACCATACTGGCGAGCATCAAAGCATGTAAGAGGAGAGCCAAGAGTCTCAATATAGTATCCAGCATCTCTTAGCGTGTCAAACATTATGTGGAAATTTGTATGCAGATGATCCCCATGCCAGTCAAGAATGTCATTCCGAACATCTAAGGAGTCCCTTGGAATATAACCAGGCGGATACTTAATACTGTGAAATTGATCCCACAATATCCGCACAGATCTCGGTGGAGTAGGGACCACTTGCAATTTCAATTGAAGGACACATGTACTACTTCGACGGCTTTTCTCACCTGGAGCTGGTGGGCTGTAGACCTTGACAGTTACATTACCTTCAATTACCCCTGAAAACTGAGCCCCCTCTTCTTTGATTTGCATATGCAGTGCAAGATAACCAGTCCAGGGCCAAATGACATCTGAATAAGTAAAATGGACACTAAGAAGGTTGCCATCCTCACCAAAAGGATGCCATGTAGGTGGACTTTCGACATAACCAATTACAGCCATTCCATTTAGAATAGTGGCATTAAATATGACTGGCATGGCACCAGCATAAAGTGGTTGACGGCAAAATGGCCACGAGTAGGGGCAGTCAGTGTAATCAAGAACACCTGGGAAAATGCTTGCTCGAGGTTCATAGCTCATCAAAATTTCAAAGGATTCCAACCTGCCATTCAAGTTTCATGTTGAGAAGAACATCAATGTGGATTGATTTGGTATTCAAACTACAAGCATAAAGGAAGAACTCACAAATTAACCCTGCCTGCACCCTGCTCGTATATGTTGGGACCAGGAAGCTTTGCAGCCCCCTCAACCAGTGCTTGTTTAACGCTAGCTGGATTCAGAATGTCCTTACGCTTGTTTTCAGGAATTACGCTAACAAGAAGGCATACTATACCAGCAACCACAGGACTCGCCACGCTGGTGCCAGATAAGCTTTTACAACCTGTACTAATTTTGGATCCCATTATCTCGCGTCCATATGCAACAATATCAGGCTTTACACGACCATAACTGTCAAGGGAAAAGTCTGTGGTTACACTCTATGAATTGGCTGGACAAGTATAAATTATTACTATCATTAGGAGAAAAAAACTGTTTGTTTTCTTTCATATTTAATATCTTTGTCAGAAGATGCAAGTATCATACATTGAGGATAAAAATACGAGACGGTTGCTAGAGATGGATGACTCGATCACGTCACAGATGAACCGGTTTGTAAGTGTGAAATCATGAGGAGTGAAAGGGGACGAGGTAGACCTTAAATCATATGGAAGGAAGTTATATTGAAAGACCTACAAGCTCTTGAAATCAATGCAGACTTAGCGAAAGAGAGGTCACATGGGAAGAAAAAGATTTACTACAAATTAGTTTGGAATATATTCTAGTAACGCTAACATATTTATTTTAGGTCCTAAGCTTATTTTAACCTTATTAGAGATTCTTACACTAGTAGGAAATATAGAGAACTTCTAGTACTTCTCATTTTGATTTTTCTGTTCTAATGTTGGCAGACGAATTTAAATGGGGAACATGGTCAGTGAAAATTAATATAGCTGACCCCAACTTGTTTGGGAATGACGCATAGTTGTCATATT